TGGGAGAAAGATGAGGCTTTCTGCTCCTGTAAAGAGTTACAGCCTCAGAAACCCTATGCAGGGTCACCATGAGTCGGAAACAACTCCACAGCACATAACAACAACAACAAGTTAAATACCCAGACCAGGACTCTGGATGGGGATCAGCTGTTTTGCATAAGAACTTTTGAATAATGTATGACAAATTTTGAAAAATGTGTTCCTGTCAGAGAACCTGAGAGTAAGTCCAGGGAGACAGGACTAGATTCTAGTTGTAAATTTGTTGTAGAAGCCTGTGTTCTCTGAACAATTGCATAAACACAAAGGGCTCCTGAGCCCAGGAGAGAAAAAGATCATCCTGAGGAGCTATTCTATGGAGTAGCTGGTGAAAGATCAAAGGAGACTTTTATTTTACTGCTATTATTTGAATTTAAGAGCGAGGATGAATTCACATTTTACATGTGTAACTAAAAATAAGTTAAAAAGACATACCATTTTCATGGAAGAAGTCAGACACCAAATTGTATATTTTTCAGAGTTCCATTTATATGAAGTCAAAAAGAAGCCAAACTAACCTATGGTGAAATAGGTCAGAGCAGCCAGACCCTTGGGCTGTATAGATCAAGTAGGGGACATAAGAGAGCTTTCTGATGTGCTGAAAAACATTTTTTTATCTTGAAGTTGGCAGGACTGATTATGTATATATGGATTTGTTGATGTTGTTGTTGTTGTTGTTGTTGTTGTTGTTGTTATGTGCCATGGAGTCGGTTCTGACTCATAGTGACCCTGTACAGGGTTTCCGAGGCTGTAAATCTTTACTGAAGCAGAAAGCCTCAACTTTCTCCCTCGGAACAGCTGGTAGTTTCGAACTGCTGACCTTGCGGTTTGCATCCTGATTCACAATCACTATGCTACCAGAGCTGGTGCTGTCAAATTGGTTCTGAGTTACAGCGCCCTTACTTACAATGGAATGAAACACAGCCCAATCCTGCCCCATCCTCACAATCACTGGTGTAGGAGCCCAAAATTGCAGCCACTGTGTCAATTCATGTCATTGGGGTCTTCTTCTTATTCACTGACCTTCTACTTTACCAGGCCTGATGTCTTTCTTCAGGTAGTTGTTGTTGTTGTTAAGTGCCATCAAATCAGTTCCGACCCATAGCGACCCTGAACAGGGTTTCCGAGGCTGTAAATCTTTATGGGAGCAGAAAGCCTCATCTTTCTCCCGTGGAGCAGCTGGTAGTTTCGAACTGCTGACCTTGAAGGTCATAGTCCGATTTGTAACCACTACGCTACCAGAGCTCCTTCTCTTCAGGGAGTAGTCTCTCCTTATAACATATCCAAAGCACATAAGACAAAGTTTAACCATCCTTGCTTCTAAGGGCATTCTAGCTGTACTTCTTTCAATACAGATTTGTTTGTTATTCTGGTAGTCTGTGGTATACTCAGTATTTTCACCAACATTATAATTCAAAGGCATCGATTCTTCTTTGGTGTTCTTTATTCATTGTCCATCTTTCACATGCATAGGAGGCTATTGAAAAGACTATGACTTGGATCAGGTGTGCTTAATACTCTAAAGAAATCTTTTGCAGCAGATGTTCCAAGGGTAATATATTGTTTAATTTCTTGACTGCTGCTTCCATGAGCATTGATTGTGAATCCAAGTAAAAATGAAATCTTTGACAACTACAATGTTTTCGTTCCCTCTGTACGAAGGCCTCTAGTAAAATCTGTAGTATTCCACCCTCAGATGCTGTGACAACTCAAACATATATAAACACGGTGGCTCCAAAAGGATATTTGAAAAATGGAATTAAAAGATAATGGAATTTGTCCATGAACTTTTTGAGGCCCCTCGTGTAGAGTTATATATGGTGGTGCAAGCAGTTTTCAATCAGCTGCTAAATGAACGTTTTGGCAGTCTGAACCCACCCAGCAACGCCATGGAATAAAGGTCTGATGATCTATTGCTGAAAAAATCAACCACTGAAAACCCAACTATGGATCTCCGTTCTACTCTGACACGCATGGCATCACCATGGGCCAAAATCAACTCCATGACAACTGAGAACAAATTGCTTACAAAGGGCAGGCAGTACATTGGTCTTCTTATGTGCTGCCCATGCACTTGGTTTAGCACTTGCTTGTTGTCATTATAGATTAATTAAGGGACATTCTGTCCTGAAGCCCTCAGTTTCCATCCACTCTTGGCCCCAAAAGAATCAGGCATTTTCAGAGTACCAGAATCTGCTAGTTTTCTGACTCACTTTGAGGACTAAGCTGTGCTTGACCTAAACTATGGTATTTCCAATTGCCTTATAAGCATGGGAATCCAGACAATGAATAAGGAAAAAAGTAGAATTGATATGTTTGAATCATGGTGTTGATGAAGAACATTGAAAGTACCACAGACTGCCAGAAATACAAATCTGTCTTGGAAGAGGTACACCCAGAACGTTCCTTAGAATCAAGAATGACGAGACTTCGTCTTGCATTCTTTAGACTTGTTTTCAGGAGGGACTCGTCCCTAGAGACGGACTGATGCTTGAAAAAGTGGAAGGGCAGTGAAAAAGAGGAAGAGCCCATCCCCATCCCAATGAGATGGATTGACACAGCGGCAGCAACAGTGGGCTCAAACACAACAACAGTGAAGGTGGCACAAGATTAGGCAGTCTGTTGTGCATAGGGTCACTACGAGACTTACCAGAAGCCACCAAGTCTGCCAGCCCCTGACGATGGCCATCTTTGCTGCACTCCCCTTAGAAAGTGTGACTGGAGGGAGATGATTCTCAGGATTCTCAAACCTACCCACCTTCTCTGCACTCTCTGTTTGCACCAACTTTGAGGTGTCACTATTTCTCATCTCCATCATTTCAGTCTTCTCCTGATACCTCTGCTTCCTGTCTGCCCCACCTTCCTTCCACTGCCACACAAAGACCACACTTGTTTTGACTTCTTGGATGATTTTCCAGTACTCCCATGCTTCAAACCACTATTCAGTAACTTGTTGAGGTAACAGTTTCGCTTCATTGACAGCTGCTCCACCCCTACCCCCACGACTTGCATACATTCTGCTTCACCCTGTATTGCTCAATGGTGACACCACTGACATTTTGGGAGGGACAATTCTTCATTGTGTAGGAATATCCTGTGAATCTCTAGTTCCTGCCCACAGAATGCCAGTAGTACTCCGTCTCAGATGCTGTGACATTCAAACATACCCCCTGGATGTTTCTAAACACCTCCGATGCCACCTTCCAAACTGGTTAGCTCCTCCTGTCCTTCACCCTTTCAAACTTCTGAAAATGGCAGTTTCCGATAGTTCAATCCAAAGCTCAAGAATTGAACTTTATGAAATGGCCATTTTCAGAAGTCCAAAGCAAAGAATATTGACTATTTCATATGTTTCAACCTCAGTGTCTTTACCTCTAGAAGCCCCTATTAACAGTGCCTTAGAACACCCTGTAACTCTCTTTATTAAAGTGCTTACTACCATGTGTTGTAAGAGCTGGTTTACTTTTTAACCCTCTCCCTCTGGCAACATTGCTCAGCCCTAATTATCTAAGAGCAAGGACCAAGCCTTAAATCCTTTTATCTTTCTAGCACTTGGCAAGAGTGCCTGGTACTTAATAGGCATTATGTTTAATGAATACACAGACAGGATATTGAGCATACTTTCCCTGATGACTCAGTGTGATTATTTCTGGGCACACGGATGCTTTCAGGGCCAATGAACACACTTTATAGAGTCTTAGCTCAGCACCAAAACACCTACCACTGCCTTGCTTGATGAATCTGTGCATCTGGCGTTTATGTTGAATCATTAGGGTCTGCTTCCACTGATCCTTCTTGTCCTTTGAAATTTGAGGCAAAAAGAGTACTGTGACAAGGCAATCCATGAATTTTAGACATTGAGACCAAAACTATATTGGTTCAGGGTCCTATTGCCTTATTGATAGGTTTTACATGTTTGAAGTATCCCTTGGATTAATAAGACAGTCTGTTTCTAAGAAAACTTTGAGTAATCATTTTTTTTCTGGAAACTTCTCACCTTAAAGTGGAGAAATGTTGCTATGATGAAATTATCATTCTAAATTCCTTGACTGGTAAAAGAACAATGAATTAACTTTCTCAAGATATTTTCTAAATAGGAAGGGTGTTTCTATATTCAAAAAGTATATGTTGTTGTTGTTAAGTGACATTGAGTCAATTTCAACTTATAGTGACCTTGTATTGTGTTTCTGATAGGCCTATGTTTTAGTCAAAAACAAAAGAAAAAAGGTTTTATATCAATAAGCATTGGAGTATAGGTCTCAGATACTTGATCTAATTTTTAGTTTAGAAGACTTTCCATCAAGAATATTTTCCATTATAATTTCTATAGAATTTATAGGCGAGCAAGAGAGAGCAAGAGAGATGCAAGGCAAATGTAAATGGGGAATACAGCTTTTCAGGTATTGTTTACATTTAATATGTGTTTAAATGCTTTTCAAAACACACATTTTAATAAATACCATACAACTCAACCAATTTTAGGGTTCTTTCATTTATTTTCAATATGTACCCTTTTTTTTATTAACATTATTCTCTTTCATAAGGTAGTAACAACAACTTAGACAAAACTGTACACATATAAGAGTTTTAAATAGTTTTTATACTGTTAAATAGCTTGTTGTTTATAAGAAAGCCCATATAATTTCATTCCCTACCCCCAATATTTTATACCTATACTAAACCAAATAGCTTAAAGAAAAAGTTGAGAATTAAATAGCGAAATACAGAAAAATCTACATCTATAAATAACTTCAAATAGAGTTAGACTTCAATGTGATGCTTAACAAAGCAAACATAAACTAATGATGCAATATGAATCAACTTCGTTCATTGGACAAGTCCAGTGAGGTCCAAATCAGAGACGTGATAAATCCACAGTGATGTGTATGCAAGTGAAAGCATAAGTCCCATCTGGTTCTTCTTCTTGAGCTGTGTCCAATTCCAATCATAAAGTGCATCTGTTTTCACATCTTTCTGACTCGCTTACTGTAAAGGAAAACGAAAGTAGAGAATAAGCAAAGCCTTTGGTACCTAAGGCATCTTCCATGCCCTTAACCTCATCTCATGATGCTAGGTAGCTCTGAGTGCATCTAAATGAGGAAATTGAGGTTCTGAGAGTGGGAACTTTGCCCACCATAATTCAGTTAGTGAGTGACAGAAACAGGATATGAACACTCATCTTGTGCCTACAAGTTCAGTGTCTATGACACTGGCATTGAATATCTTCTGTCCATTAATATAATGTCTATTATCATTAAGGAGTCCTGGTGTGGCACTGTGGCTAATGCATCAGACTGCTGTCATTTGAGCTGCAAGGTTGGTGGTTCAATCTCACCAGCTGCTCCTTGGAAACCCTATGTTGTTTTTTGCCGTGGAGTCGGTTCCGACTCATAGTGACCCTACGCAGGGTTTCCGAGGCTATAAATCTTTATGGGAGCAGACCGCCTCATCTTTCTCCCGCGGAACCACTGGTAGTTTCAAACTGCTGACCTTGAGGCTCACAGCCCGATTTGTAAGCACTACGCTACCAGAACTCCTTTGGAAACCCTATGCGGGGTCGCTATTGGTGGGAGTCACCTGGACGGCACTTAACATCAACAACTATCATTAATGGAGTCCTGGTGCAGAGTTGTGGATAATTAATGTGTCAGCAAAGTCTTCTGAGCTTCAAGGTTGGTGGTTCAAGCTCACCAGCTGCTCCTCGGAAACCATATACAGGGTCACTATGGGTTGGAACCCACTCGACAGCACGTCACAACAACAACAACAACAACTATCATCAATGCAATCCAGAACCACTATTCTCTTCTTAACTCATCTTTGCTTTTTCATTTTTCTAACAATCAAATGTCTGTCTGCAAATTGTATAAATAGGAAGCATCTTTGCAAGAAAAACCAACAAGTTAGTGACTCTCAAACGCATACTGAAAAATAAACAAACTCAAATTACAAAGACCTCATGTGTTAGCAAGCAGAACTGCACTGCGTGATAAAACCTTTCGGAAGCAGGCTACTAGACCTTTCATTTGAAATGCCTCTGGATGAGTTTGAACCACCAACTTTTCAGTTAGGGGTCATGCAAACAACAATTTGCACCACCTCAGAGGTGCACAGCCAATGGACAGGAATAGTTAATACAGCGTGTGAGGAATTACTTAATTTTAAAAGTAATTACAATAATGAAGAAGTGGGGCAAAGTGCGTTCTTCATTTTCATGATCCAGCTCAAGTTTTCCCTTAAAAACCTTACACAGTGCTTAAACTCCAGAACCCAGTGAGCCTATGATACCCTAATGTTGCACAAGCTCCCTGAATGGGAAGGGTTCATACCTTAAGAGTTGCACAGTTTGTTTCACCCACATCTTCTTGGGGTCTGCACATATGGCAAATCTCTTCCTTGTGTGAAAGCTGGAGGAAGTCAGAAAAGTTTATTTGTGCTTAAAGAGTTCTTAATTCCAGCCCCCCCCCACACACACACACAGGATGTGCAATAGCAACTTGAAAGTCCAATTAATTTCTCAACATGTTTTTTAATATTTCAGCTGAAGAAGTGAAATAAAATGCAAAAAACAAAAATCCCAAAGTGCTGCTGATAAAGCTTGGGGCTTGATGAAAGTGATTCTCCCAGCCTTTTCCTGAAATTTAACAAAGGGCTACGGCATGATGGAGAGCTAGTCCCTGGTTGTTATCCTGACTATGTGACTTGATGATTTTGGTTCTTTTTGCTGCCTCTGGTTACATGGAATATTTGTGCATTTGACCAGGAATGTATATCATTCCAAAATGTAATGTTATATGTAAATCAGGAATGTTTCCGGTGACCATAAAAATTAAATGGATTTTATTTACAGCCCCAATCATTTTCCAGCAAAAAAAAAAAAAAAAAAAAATTTAAGTGGTCATCTCAAAACTCACATCTGAAAATAATTTTACTGCTATATTTTCCTAAGGTAGCATATAATAGCTTACGATTTCACCTTAGAAAGTGATTTCACCCTATACTATATACTACTTTTTTTTGCTATGTTTTCCTAATTCCTTCCTATTTAATATAAACTTTGACATAGATGCTGTTATTGTTGTTAAGTGCTGTCAAGTCGGTTCCGACTCATAGCAATGTTGTATAGGGTTTCCAAGGAGCAGCTGGCAGGTTTGAACTGCCGACTTTGTGGTTCGAAGTGCAATACTGATCCTACCGCAACACACCAGAAGTTGATACGTACTACTAAAACAAGTGTCTGTGCTTCAGTGATTTCTGAGTGAAACTCCATGGAGGACTACTTTCTAATAGCTGGAATTGTCATGAACTCCTGATACCACTGGATGAAAACAGGTAACTTACATGATAGCATCAATATCACAAGCTTCATTGGCCAGTTGCTGCGTGAAGCCCACGATGTGTCTGAGAGGAATGAGGCCATCTCTGTATTGTAGACAACAGTCAAAGTTGCTTGCTGCTGAAAGAGACATGAGAGGAATTGAACCCACATGAATTAACATAATGTGTGATAGATTGACTATGAGGCGAAATCAACTCCACTGTAGCGGGTAGGTGAGAGATATCATAGAACTACAAGAAGATATGAAAACTCCGCTGAATTTGGTTTATACGATGATGAAATTATTCAATAGACAAGTTACAGTATCTTTGAGACATGTATGTTTTCCAAGAGATCCCATTTAACATCGTTCCCAATTAAATATTTTTGCATGCTGGGAAAGGTTGGTTCAGTAAGACAATTTAGAAACTCATGGCTTCTTATAAACAACATCTTTAGTAAGAAACATAAGTTGACAGAGTTTTATTTCAGTTCTCAAGAATCACTCAAGATTATGGGGTCCCCCTCTCCTGGACCACCCGCATACACACTTTAAGAAACCGTAGTTAATAATCTTCCGAATTCAGCAAGCACGTATATTGGGAACTTTTTATCTATTCTTTAATTACTGAAGATGGGAAACTGAGGAAGAACGAGAAGTTATGAAGGAAAACATGATTTTTCTAGGTGCTACCACGGAGCTCTGGTAGCGTAGTGGTTACGAATTGGGTTGTGAACCTTACGGTCAGCGGTTCGAAACTACCAGCCGCTCCGCGGGAGAAAGATGAGGCTTTCTACTCCCGTAAAGATTTACACACTCGGAAACCCTGTACAGGGTCGCTATGGGTTGGAACCGACTCGACGGCACTTAACAACAACAACAACAACAACAACAACCAGCTAACGCACCTCAAAATTGTCACGTTAGCTAACAGGATTTTTTTTTAATTTTGCTTATAAAAATCCAACATGCACTTTTTCAGGAACTCCCCTACTGCTAAAAATGATGTACTCTAGCAGTAATAAAGCAATCTGTAGACACTCCCCCAAGTTAAATAGCAACCTGCTCTCAAGGAAGCGATAAATGTTATCTCAAAGCTGAGAAGCGACGTCTCCGAGACCTTGCAAGGAGATGAAGTCCCTGCCATAGCCTGTCCCACAGCAGAAGGATTTGGGGACTTTATGAAAGCTATCTAATTGGGAGGTGAGAAAGTTGGGGGAAGGGCCATGTTCTCCCCATTTCAGAATGAGTCCACTTACTGATCATTGCACACTATGGATATCACTTTGTCCTGAAGATCAGGAGTCTCTAGGAACCCTCTTGACCCAGATTCTGCTAGGATGGACAGCAGGGAGGAGGGCCTGGCCAGAAGCAGTGACCATTCCCTCCTCCAGTGACCAGCATTACGCTGGTAGTTCCCATCACTCCCTCTAGTAGACTTTTTATGATCTCAAGGCCTTGAGGAAAGTGAACACAGTTCTCCCTCTGGTGCCAAAAAAGCAACTGACACTTACCTTCTGCCCTGCTGCCAAGGTGGAGCAGCAGCACCGCCGTCAACGCGGCCACGAGCAGACTCTTGCCACTGCACATCATGTTTAGCTCAAAGACAGATGTGCCCGGTGCAGGTACCCAGAGCTGGGAGTGCTGTTATGTTCCGACAGTAGCTGGGATAGCCCTACTTATAGCAAATATTGGGAATGTACACAAGAGGCGTGGTCTCACATGGGGTTTTCCCCCATTGATCAACCTGTCATATCATGTCGTCACAAAGAAAAACACACCGGGAAAACTTCTTACCTTCCCCTCTTGTTGGGAAGGTGAGCAGATTGGAGGTGGGCACGTAGGAAAGGGACACACCTTTTTAATCCTTTAGTGTGCAAAAGAAAAGCCGCTCAGCCCTGGGGCCCAGAGAGAAACTTCGATCTTTCTTGAAGTTAATCTCTTTGTCTCAGAAAAAGGAGAATAATGTTTAGTAGGGATATGAGGGTCAGCCCCACCCTGGAGCATTCCAGCACTTCTATTGTTGCCCCCCCACTCACTTTCCAGACCCGTAAGGGGTGAGGGAGATGGAGGTGGGATGACAGGCATCCTCAGGTACCCATTAACGATTGCATAGTTGGTACTCATTAGTCACTGAAGGACCCTGAATTTCCACTCTAACATTCAGAGCAGATAATGTAACACCACTGAATACTGTCCCGAATCCACATGGAAAATGGCAGCCCTTAGCTAACACTCCAGACTCAGAATCATCAGAATTTGGTGTCAGCTGTTTTAAGAGTCTGGGGAAGTAACATGACTTTCCTCACTATTGCAGGCCAGGAAACAATGCCCACCTGTTTCTAACTCCTTGTTGTTGTCAGGTGCCATCGAGTAGGAACCGACTCATAGCGACCCCATGTACAGCAGAACGAAACAATGTCCGATCCTGGGCCAACCTCACTACCGCTGCCACACTTGAGTCCATCAATGATGCCACCTGGCTGATCCATCTCGTTGGGGGTCTTCCTCTTTTTCTCTGACCCTCCACCTTACCCAGCATGACATCCTTCTCCAGCAATTGTTTCCTCCGGACATTATGTCCAAAGTAGGAGAGACGAAGCTTAACCATCCTGGCCTCCAAGGAGCACTCTGGCTGCACTTCTCCCAAAACAGATCTATTGGTTCTTTTGGCAGTCCATGGCACTCTCAGTATTCTCCTCCAACACCACAACTCAAAGGCATCAATTCTTCTACGATCCTCCTTATTCACTGTCCAGCTTTCGCATCCATATGAGGCTATTGAAAACACAATGGCCTGGATCAGGCGCACCCTAGTCCTCAAGCTGACATCTCTGTTCTTCAACACTTTAAAAAGTTCCTGTGCAGCAGATTTGCCCAATGCAATACGTCGTCTGATCTCTTGACTGCTGCTTCCATGAGTGCTGATAGTTGATCCAAGAAGAATGAAGTCCTTGACAACTTCAATCTTTTCTCCATTGATGCTATTGTTAAGTGTCTTCAAGTTGGTTCCAGCTCATAGAGACCTTGTGTAGGGTTTCCAAGGAGTGGCTGGTAGGCCTTGTGGTTAGCAGTCCAGTGCTTATTCTACAACTCCAGTAGTGACATAATTCATTATAGACTCTCAGAACAGGGCACTAAAACAAGGAGAAGGAAAAAATTATATCAGCAGTAGTTAATCAGCAACACACAATCTCAAATCAAAGTGATAATGATAATAATTTAATATGAAACTGAGGCCTCAGGTGGTGTGATAAGAATTTCTCACTAGATACCAATTGGTTGAAAGTAAAAAGATGGAAAAATGTCAAACATGCAAACAGGAAACAAGAGTTGCTGTATTAATATCAGACAAAACATATTTTGAAGCCAAATAATATTACTAGAGAAAGATTTTTCATAATGATAAAAGAGTCAATCCATCCAAACAATACAGAAATGTAAATTACCATACACACATAACAGCATCCCAAAAATGCATAAAGCAAAAACTGACAAAATTGAAAGGAAGAATAGTTCAACAACAAAAACAAAAGTTGGAGATTTCAATTACGAACAGAATAACTAAACAAAGTTCACAAGAAAATAGAAGATATGAACAATCCCATAAATCAAGTAGATCTCACAGACATCTCTAATACACTTCACCCAACAGCAGCATAGACAGCCTTCTCAAGTGATAACAGAATATTCAGCCTAGACCACACATGAAGGAGCTTCAAAAAGAAGGAATTATCAGATAATGGAATTTTTCCATGAACTTTTTTCAGCTTTTTATTGTGAATTGAGTGAAAGTTTATAGAACAGATGATGGGTTTTACAATCAGCAGCAATTCCTACTTCCTACCTGGGTTTTTTTTGTTTGCTTGTTTCATTCCTTCTTCTTTCTTAATCCTTCTGAACTTTGTCCTTGAGTCAATGCTGCCCTTTGGATCTCAAATGGTTGATTATGCTAAGGTGTGCAGACCTCACTAGTGTAATTATGCCTCTTACAGGTCTATCTATTGTTTGGCTAAAAATTGAGCAACAGAGATAGCTACGAACTCTGTAAAGCTCCCTCATACTAGGTTAGAGTCCTGGTGTGGTACTGTATGATAAGCACTGGACTATTAATCACAAGGTTGGAAGTTCAAACCCACTAGCCGCTTTTTGGAAATCCTCTACAGGGTTTTTACATAATTGACTTGTTGGCACTATCAATAACAACAACATACTACCCTATAAAACAAGTATCATTAAGTTTAGAAGAACTGAAATTATACAAAGCATGTTTTTCAACAACAAATCAATAACAAAAGCAGATTGGGGAAATTCACAAGTATATGGGAAATAACACATTCCTAGTAGCGTCTTGGTGTGGAGCTGTGGGTTAATGCATCAGACTGCAAAGCTGTTTGAACAGCAAGGTCGGCGTTTCAAGCTCACCAGCGGCTCCTCCGAAACCCTACATAGGGTCGTAATGGGTGGGAACCGACTCAACGGCACTTAACAATAACATATAGCCAATGGGTTGAAGAAGAAATCACAAGGACAATTAAAAAATACTTTGAGATAAATAAAAGCAAAAACACAATGTACCAAAACTTATGAAACAAAAGAAGTGCTCAGAGGGAAATTTATAACAGTAAACATCTATGTTTAAAAAGAAGATCTCAAATCAGTAACCTAACCTTCCAATTTAAGAAATTAGATAAAGGAGAGAAAAAAAAAATAAGAAGAAAAAAAGAGAGAGAGAAAAAAAAAATTTTTTTTTAAAGCAGAAGGAAGGAAATAATAATCCGTGGCCTGGAGATGGGGGTTAATGTGCTGAACTGCAAAGTCAGATAGAACCACAAGGCCGACGGTTCAAGCTCACCAGCCGCTCCAGAGAAACCATATACAGGGTCACTATGGGTCAAAACTGACTCAAAAGCACTTAACAATAACAACAGAGTAGAGATAAATAAAATAGAGATTAGGCAACAACAGAGAAAAATCAATAGAATCTTTTCAGTAGCTGGTTTTCTGAAAAGCTCTACAAAATTGACAGACTTTAGGTAAGAATAAAGAAGAAAAGTCTCAAACTTTTAAAATTAGAAATGAAAGTGGGAACATTACTACTGACTTTACAGGAACAAAAAGGATCATGAAGGAATACCATAAACAAATTTATGCCAAAAATTAAATAACGTAAGTGAAATGAGCAAATTCGTAGAAACATACAAAGTACCAAATAGAATCAAGAAGACATAGAAAAACTCAACAGACTGATAGCAAACATGAAAGGAAAGACCATACACTGAAGGACTGATTACCCAATAAACAAGGTAAGCACAGGCTTCTTACTAATCTATAGTGAACCATGTCACATTTTTTCACAATATCAAAGATTCTGCTTCTAGGTATAACTGGCACCTGTCTCTGTCGCAGCCATACAGCACCTACCTACAGAATCAAAGCCTCTTTTCAAATTTACAATCCCTGACAGGAATGGAGTATCCAGTCAACAAGGTGAGCACAAGCTTACTTATGCTTCCTTACTAATCTGTAGTGAACCATTTCACTACATTCCTCTGCTTATTGGATAGTCCATCCCTGCATGTACTGTGTCAGTCATTTGAATGCAAAACTCAGCATTGCCAAATCTAGAGACAGCAAGTCGAATAGTGATTGCATAGGGCTGGGTTAGGGTACAGAAGGAAAAGGTGGGTGGGCAATGGGAAGTGACTCCTAAAGCGTATGTGATTTCTTCTAAGGAGGACAAAAATGTTACCAAAAAAAGAGATTGTTGCTCAGTCTTGGGAATCTATTGTAACACACTGAATTGTACAAGTTAGTGAATTGTATGGCATGTGAAATATATCTCAATAAAGCTGTTAACAACAAAACATTCTCTACCTAACTACTTCTAAAACACCCAGAGCACAAATCCTGACTTTCTTTCTCTACTTCTGCTCTTAGTCACCTAAGGTCTGTGTTCATTGTTCCTTTTTCCCACATTCCTGTATTCTTGGGTTTTCCTGGTTCCCTTGCAATTAATTCCTCTTCTCCCTTCTCATCTCTTAATCACACTTCCCCCTTTTTTTGTCCTTTGTTGGTGTTGTTGTTAAGTGCCGTCAAGTCGGTTCCGACCCATAGCGACCCTGTACAGGGTTTCCGAGGTTGTAAATCTTTACGGGAGCAGAAAGCCTCATTTTTCTCCCGCGGAGCAGCTGGTAGTTTCGAACTGCTGACCTTGCAGCTCGCAGCCCAATTCGTAACCACTACGCTATCAGAGCTCCTTTAATAATCATTAAAGAGAAATGATATTTTGGTATTACTTTTATATTAATGAAAATTTTCTTTTTCTCTGCTTGGTTGGCTAGTTTGCTTGTTTCTGTTTGTCACTTATAACTTAAAAACCCTCAACTGATCTTTTTTCTTTGGTCATGCAATCAATGTGCAAATAAGCAGGTTTATTTGGTAATTGAAATGATTTAATTTATAAATCATTTCTAGCCTAATTTCTAGGATTTCTTTTCAAATATCTCAGACATATTCCTGTTGTTGTGCACTGCCACGTTGCCAAATTGATTCTAACTCATAGCAACCTTATTGCTATCAAGTCAATTCTG